CTCAATAAAACTCTCGAGACGAGTTTAAACTATGAGCCGTCTGGAAGCATTTTCACTGCTTGATGAGCCGTTCGTCGAAGCTTCGGCTTTACATTTTGTAGGGGTTTCGATGAGATCGGGTTTGTCGCCTTCGAGATGTTTGATCGCTTGGACGATCGTGTCTAAGTTTTGGCGAGATGTTGCGAGCGCTTTTTGCGGTTTTTCGTTTGATTTCGATTTAGCATCCGCCAAATCTAATTCAAGTTGCTTCTTTTTATCTTCCACGTTGATCCGCAGCCTCCTTTCACGTTCCAGCTGGCACCTCAGTTCAATGAGTTCCTTTTGTATTTCTTCAACGTAGTCATCGCTGTGTAAAACGTTGTTGTTTTCATCGTCCTTGATATTTTCCTGCGCACGTGGTTCTTGATCAGTTCTGGCTTTTTTCGGCGAAGATCGCTTTGAATCCGTACTGTTTGCTCCCTCTCGATCGCACTGGCTCAGAATTCGCTTCAAAGTCGTGTTCTGCTGCAGAAGACGAGTTTTGTCTTGCTCCAGGGCAAAAATATACTCGGCCGTCTGCTGCAGGATTGCAGCCTGTTAACGAGATTAACAAATATAAAGTCAGTACAGAGATCTCATTTCTCCAGCTCTAGATCACTGAAACTCGATCAACTCTATTTACTGTGATAATTGAATGAAAAATTACCTTGCTTAATTTTTCACCTTCGCTGTGTGGAATCAGCAATCTCAGTGCTTGGAAACCGGAGTTAATACTTTGCATACGTCGTCGCTCGTTCGAGTTTGCAATTTCCCGCCGCAGTTTTCGCTCCCGCTCTCGATTGTCCACCACTTCGACTTTAAACCTGTAAAAAACACAATACAAAAGGGAAAAGAAAAGAATGAGGTGTTTCGTGAGGAAACGAAATGCAGAAATGCAGATGAAACTGACATCATCTGTTACCTGCAATCGTCATCCTCGTAGAGCTCGTCCACCTCGAAAGCTTTACGTTTGTCGGCAGTTCGGGTATAAAATGACATTTTCATTCACCTCAGAGGAACGCAGAGCTTACAATTCCACTCACAAGTCTTATTTCTATTGTTTCCTAGCGAAAGATTATTACAAGCGCGAAGATTTGCTGCAATTCACAGCAAACAAGCGAAAGAGTACCTCACTTGAAAAGCACCTAAATCGGCGGGAAACAGCTGTCTTTATTGATCAGGTGACCGAAGGCTGAAGTTAAAAATTTGAATGCGGCACAGCAGAGGAATGCCACATTCCAGGTTTCTATGAAGATAGCTTTTGATCATATGAAAACACTTACCCAAAAACGCATAAAAACGGACTAAAACTATTTTTTTTTAAACAAAAGTGTCACTTTCTACCACAAATAAACGTTCAAAATAAACCCTTTTACTTTCTTTAAGTAACCCCAAACGTGTAAAACGAAGAAAAACTACACAATTTTCAATTCCAAATAACTAAATTCTTGTTACCGTCCTAAAACAATACCTCACTCTTCCCGACCAATCAGAGTGGACGTTGCAAGACAGTGTTTACAGTTGATGTGTTCATTCGACCGGCACCCGAAATGGTTTCTTTCAATTGGCTTTCGCAGGTAATAAAGGAAACAAATCCAGTCACCCGTTTCCAATCAGCTGTTTTGATGATCAGCCGGGTTTTGCGAATTCATCAGCTGTTTATTTCCGCTTGGCTTAGTTTCAACCTAAACAGCCAAGCCACTGGGTAGCAGATTGGTTCAACCTCCGCAAATTTCACTTCAAAATAAGCTTTCTTGTTTTCTTTTCCTACAAAAAATAACAATAATAATATATTCAGTAATAAAGATCTTAGTTTGCTTATGGATGATAGCGGAAAAAGTGATTCTCATAGCGAACTTTATGAACCGGTCATCGAATCGAGGCGCCCAAAGCTCATGACCTGCACAGTGCGATCTCTCTTTTTTTTTAATTTTATTTTATTTATTTATCTATTTTTTGTTGTTGTTGTTTCTCCGGCGGCCTGGGAAGTTAGCCTGCATAGCAAGTGCTACGGTCCAAACGAAAGAGCTTCTTCCCGCTTTTTTCCACATTCTAACCTCGCTCGCTCCACCACTTCGACAAGCTCTCTCCCCAATTTTCTCGCGACTAGCGGGCGAGAAACTCTCCGTTCCTCAGGTTTGAAAACGCTAGCAAGTCTTGCGACTCAGTCAATTTTTGTTTCAGTTTTGTTTTGTTTTTTGTTTCAGATGGCTGCATAGGCAAATGTTGTTTCGAGCGATGAGTTCACTTACCCTTTGGAAAAAGTTCGCATTGTATGGAATTGAAAATAATGAATAAGTATTGCATTAGATTTATCCATGACTAAATTTCAGGTCTACTGCAGGGAAAGAATGACCTTGATGATCCGATCCTGACTATAAAGATGTTTGGCCGTTCAACGACTTCAACTTTTACTAGCTAGAAAGCAGAGCTTTTTGTATTGTTGATTACCAAAACTTTTATTTCTCCCGGTTTTCTTACCGAAACGTGAACGTTGCCATCGAAACAATATTTTGTTTGCGCAAAACAGTTCCAGGCGCAGCAGCTGATAATTATATAGGTAAAAGCTAGAACATAATAAAGAAAAATAATAATAAAGGCACAATTACATGTAAAACACAGTGGAACCAAATCAATTGTGGTGGAGGGTAGGAGCACTGCGATTGGCATGGCAACATTAGTTAAGTTAAATTGTCATTTAGCTAATTCAAAACTCTCGTGTAGCTTCCACGGTATTAACAACGCAAAATCATTTTTTGTTTAAAGAGGGTAAAACTCTAAAAGCTAACTACGTTTATTATTGCGTTTATTACTTTACATGTTCAATCAACCGGGTCATGCTAGCTTTTTTACCCCCTGCCCCTCCCCCACCTTGTTTTAATCATTTTTTTTTTTCTTTTTTTCCCTGAATGTAAGGCTGGCAGCCTGAAAAAGTGAGGGGGCGGTCTATTGAAGTTATTAAACCTTAAATAAACCGTTATAGTATTTTATTTCAACATAGCCCTGGCCAGTTGAGAGAGACTTATTTTCTAAGTCGAAATATTGGCCTCAATAGACCACTCCTCCTGGCCTTCCAGTCCTCGACCTTACATTCAGTTTTGATTATACACCTAAAGGTCACGCTTTACGCCGCCTTTTTATGGCAGATGTCCACGGTGTACAAAACAGTCTGGAGTTATGTTATCAAGAAAAAGGTTACCCTGATCCAGTTTGCTGGCCTTCTACCTCATTTTACCGGAAATGGCATGTCTGATCTCAGCTGTAGGGTTCTTGTCTCGCGGTCTTCACAGCTAAGACAGCCGGTATCACATCCATGTTGCATCCAGTTTATAAACCGGAACAATCTATTTTGCGATCCTTCAGGATTTTCTCTTACCCCTGCTAGAGCCTTCCTTCTTCTATAAGAAGGCTCTGTACCAAAACTGATGAATTTTTTACCCAGCAAATTTAATGGTGTTTGACCTGATAAAGGGAAGAAAACAACGACGGCAACGGCGACGGCATCGTCGCTAAACAAAAGGTTTAATGAGGAGAACAATGGCTGTGCATCGTGCGCGAGCGTTATAATTCATGATATATTTCTTTGCCGTCCTCTACAAAGCAACGTGAGTGACCAAATTCTGCGTTGTCCGGAGAACGTGAACCACGGCGGCTAATTTTATTTTTATTTTTATTTCAAATGTTTCGCGCTGTCCCAGATTCATTTTCGTGAAAGTTTTGACACAGAGAAACAAAGGAAAATGATTTAAGAGTATCGCGAGATTCGTAGGTAAATATAAAGTCATTTTCAATCGACGCTGTCCTCGGCGTCGCGTCGTGGTTTCTTAAACTCCCTAATGCATTCCAGCCTCGGCGCGCACAGGTGTCCCATCATGAACCTCAAGATTTTTATTGATCTGTGGTAAAGGATGCTATAGAGGGATTGCTTTATCTTTACAAGGGGAAATTTAACAACATAGATGGGGGTGGGCAGCTGCTTTTCAACTTCCGGGTCGATAGGCCTGATCGTAAGTCGGTTGAAATCATTCGGCTCCATCTTCAAGCGCTTTTGTGCCCGCCGCGGTACCTCTTTGGCCTATGGTCCCTCTCACACACGTTTTCAACATTCTCTTTGACTAGCTCTGAATGAACTCAACCTGAAGCTCCTCTTTTTTTACTCTAAGGTAGCGAAATATTCTTCCAATTCCGGTTAAACTAAATAAATAATACTGAAAAGACATAAAAATTTGAAGAACGTGGACAATTTTATCGCGGGCCGAAACCCGCGAGAAATTGCTCACACGCGTGGAAGGCAGGCACATGATTTAAGTAAGGCGCGGCTGCCAAGCCCTTAGAACGCACAATGATGGGTTCTTCGACTTCGAAAACACTGTGGAAGGATTATACATACGTCAAATATCCATCACCGTAGAACAATTCGCGGTAAGTCTATTGCATTCTGAACTGTTGCACTGTAGAGACTTTTAATTCAGCCATTTTACCACAAGTTTTGCTGTACTGGATTGTGACAATTCTGTTGAGCGTGATCAAATTGTACATTTCAGCATCATGTGATACGATATGCTTAATTATCGATTATAGTCGTATGTTTTATAGTCGATGGTCAGAAATAAATGTTTTTCTGGCCACTAAGAGGCACTTTATATTAACCCGTGAAGCTAGAAGCTGTAGCGTTTGAATTTTTTAAGTTAAAGCCATACAATCGACAACTGAACTTAAGTAAGAGCTTATAGGTTTTACCGGCTCTACCAAGAATTGTAGGTTAAGCTTAATCCATTCTGAGTGTTTTCTGTCTACAGGAGATCACGAACGATGTACTTCGCCGTAAATCACTCCAGGAAGATTTAACCTATCTGTCAACAAATTTCAATTCCATTCTGTGACATTAGTAGTTCGGCATTTTATTGGTGAAGTGCACGTTTACAAAATTAATATAAGCTTAGAAACTTAATATTGACCTCGACTTAGATTGTTTGTTAGATTAGATTCGCATTTTTTTTAATTCGGTCAATGGAAACCTGAAATATTAGAATTACAGGCTTAAACTCGAAACTTTTGCATAATCAGATCTGGCAATTATTTTCCCTTCCCTTCGGTAAAAACTATACTCTCAACATAATAGTGTAAATTAAAGTTAAAATTGTTTGAATTAGGATTCTAAAGTTAGTGGTAGTGAGATTTATTTTTATTCACTGGCAGTCAGTAACACATTAGTGTTTAGTAAAGGAATTTTCACTTCCTACAAACTACTCTTTGCATCTTTCTCCCATGTATCTATGTCATTATGGCTGGTGAAACCTAACTTTCAAGGCAAAATAATATTATAATGTTATGAATTCTAAATTATCCTAACAGGGGAACTGAGTTACTTGCCTCGCTAAAATTTTAAAGTTATTTTGTTACTTAGGATCCTGTAAGAGGCAGTGTACTAAAAAAATAAATACCCACAAAAGGACTGTTCTTGTTCTTTTTCTGATATTGCCTCGATCAAAATTTTTGTCTGGTTATGACCGGTCCTGAATACTAGTTGTAAAATTTGTTCCTAGAAATAAGTGTACCATACATTGTATTAAATTATGACTTGGCCTATGAGCATGAAAGAGCCAATGGCATGGCTTGTTACATTGAATATGATGTCAAATCATGTTAGCTCGGAGAGTCAACATCATCATCATCATCATCTTTTTGTCCTTTCTTTCACTCTCGCCAAGTTTCTTGGTTCTCTGCACTAATCCTCGTGTTACATCAGGTTTAAGCCAAACTCTGCCCTTTTCTTTTCTACTATTCTCCAGGTCTCCTTTGGTCTACCTCTCAGACATTTGCACTCTGAGGCCAAAGTTAGAATCATTTAAGGGTGGTCATTTGCACTCAGTAAACAAGCTTGAAGAGTCAGTAAACAGTTATTTGTACGTAGTTCACTTGTAGCATTGCACTCCATTGTTACTTTTGCTTTAACAAATGGTTGGATCTGCTATCTAGGAAATAGGTAGTTTAAGCAAATCACTATGGCTGGTGCTACTACGGCTGCCGTGACTGAAAAGGTCTGGGGAGAGTACGTCTCTGTGGTCTGCCAAATTTTAAGTTTAGCGAGTAAAGCGAAATACAAAGATAAACGAAACATCAGCTAAGGAGTTTAAAATCTCTTTTATTTAGTTTCTCGCAGCCAAATGGCTTCGGTCAAAGGATGATGGCCGTTATTCG